AAGTTCCTGTACAACACATTTGTGCCAAGCTCCAAGATAAAATGATTGGTAATTCAGCATTACTGGCCTCACACCATCAGTATGAGCTACCTCCCAGGTCTTCATCAGTCTCCTGTAGCTAAGTGTTGTGGAGAGCATGCCCTGCAGCCTGGCTGTCAGCAGCCTCTCACAGGTACACGGCCTTCTGCCCCACTTCAGATTTTGCTCACATTACTTTATTTCAGAGATAAGGGAGGCTCTGCATTGATTACCTGCTTCTCCTGTGAACAGTGTTGGTAAATCTCAGCGTGTGCATTTTGTGTTTCAGGACTGTGAGGGGGAAACTCCCATTCACAAGGCGGCCCGCTCTGGGAGCCTGGAGTGCATCAGTGCCCTGGTAGGGAACGGGGCTCATACCGAGTAAGTGTCTTCAATTATTCCCCTCACTTAGAGACATGGTCACGGTGTTACATACAGAAGTAGCATTTAGAGCAGCAAAAGCCTTAAACATCTTTGTTTCTAAAGTTAGCAATGCAGCTGTGCCTTTTTGATCTGGTGTTAGTGAGGAAGGTTGGGTTAGGCTGACCACTAGCGGGCGTAGGCTTCATCCCCCAGAATGAGACAGCAGAGTGGAATGAAAAGAACAGCCGGTCCATTAGACATTGGAACGCAGTGGTGCCATTGACTTTGGCACTAAGTAGCCATGTTGCTGTGGCATGTCTTCCTCATACTTGTTTGCAGGCTCTAATTTCAGATGGGGGGCTTGGATTAGAGTCCAATGTTTTTTCAGGTCCCTCTGGCTCACAGTCCTGAAGACTGTTTCTAAGTCTGGATTTCCTTATAGATGTGAGACCCCATTTAAAACCTCCTTAGACCTAATGACTTACAGCTTCATGTAAACTGGAGCTGCATAAGGAGACTTCACTTGCTTGGAGTCTTTGATGCTGAGGGTTAGTTTAGAATGTTCTTAATTTAGTGCCATTTGCATGAGCTGTGGTCTATTACCTGCTAGAACAGTGCTAATGTGTGAGTGTGTTAGTTCAGAAATGTGTCTTGTATGCAAATCCTTAGCTAGCCATAGCATTATACATTATCTAGGTATATTCATTGTTTAACTTTTGTTTTTACATTGTAAAAATTTTCTTCCACAGTTCACAGCATTAACAAATGGATGCGGTTTTTCATCCTTAAAACACTGAGTGTAAGCTGTAGAGAGCAGTAATAACCAAAATAACTGATAATACCAGCTTTTAAAATTTTACTGTAACTTAATGAGTAACTCATTAAAAATTAATTAGAAACCACTTTATTTTAACAGGAAATGTGAAAATTGAGACTTTTGGATGCAGTGAGAGAGACCCACAAAACTTAGTTTAACCCTTTGGTTTCCATTTCATTGTTCTGACTGTATAACAGTAAATTCTGAACATAGGTCCTGAGCAGCAAAACCATGTATGTTAGCTCCTGTAGGCATGTCTGTCTCCAGAGCTCAGCTTAGCTACTGTCCCAGCTTCCGTTTGCTTCTTTATTGGCAAATGTTGCCATTAGTTTGGGCTTGGAGATTTAATGTTATAGCTATGGCCTGTGTGGCCTAAGCATAGCAACACCTGGCCGTAATCCAAGCACCCAGGAGGCTGAGACAGGAGTGGACTTTGAGGCCACCTGAGTTACATTGTGAGACCCTGTCTCAAAACAAAAAAAGACAGGGCATGTATTAACTGCTATGTTTTAAGGACCCTTGTAACTATATTTAGTTGTGATGTGAGGTAACGTAAAAACAGTTTGATAATGTGACTATGTATTATATAATCTTAAAACATTTAAAGTGATTCTCAGTTGCTTTAAAGTTACAGAATCAGTTTTACTCACTGTATTTATATTAAAAACTTAGACCTTTAATACCAAGCTTTGATTATAAATACAGTCATATATAACAATTGATTAAATTACTTAATTATCATTTATGGAAATAATGGGCAATTAAAGTTGGCGTTTTTTTAAATAGCTTATTTTTTTTCTAAATTATACTTTTATTGGTCCTGAACATTTTATTACAAAGATGTTAGTTTTAATTTTAATGAATAACTTAATCCTTTGAGCCAGTAAATATCTGTCAGTGTGTCCTTTTTTTTTTTTTTTTTTTCTTTCTTTCTTTTAAGTAGGTATCTTAAAATACGAGTATCTTTTATTTACAATTCTGTCCTTGGTTACAGGACCCTCAAGTGTCTCTTTTCTACCAGGTGTGGCTGAGCATGGCCTCAAGTGCCAGTCTGTCCCCCATCTCAGTACAGGAGCCACCCCCTCGAGACCCTGCAGTATGGTGACTGCCCTGGAAATGAGCTTTCACATTTTTTTGGAAGGAACATTTAGCTTGACTACCTAGGCAAAAGCAATTTTTAAAATCAGAAGTCTTTGGCCTGGAGTTAAACTACAAGTAGTCATTATTTATTGCTATTGTGTATGTGGTTATTCAGTTTATCATCTAATGAAAATGTCGGTTTTACCAGTAAGCTAAATTGAAAACTGCTTCTTACTGTCTGTTCTGCACATTTTTATAGCTTATCTTGTTAGTCTGTCTACATAAGCAGTTTGACTCCCCCAAATAGCAGTGCCTAGGTCTATGTTCCCCTGTAATGCTACTTACATGGCCAGATGTCATCCCAGCACATAAGTCTTCCCCTAAGACCAAAGGTTTAGCAGTAGTTTCCTTATATTAAAATTACTTAATGTTTCATTTCATAATGAGCCAGATTGCTAATTCATTTTATAATCTATAATACTTAGGAGATTAAAAACTTTCCTTCTCCTGTGACTAGGTTAAAAGCTGCCTCATACTGCTATTTTTAAATTAATGATTTTGCTCTTAATTCCTACTCTGCCTTTTATATGTCTGCTACCTTAAAGTGGCCAAAGACTAAAGTTGTGCTTTTTTTGATCATCAGGTAGATGGTGAGGGTAACTGCTAAGTGTCTGTGGCTAGAGTGGTTTGTTATATGACTGACTTGTTAATGTAGGTTGCAACTGTAAGATAACACATTTCAGCAGCTGTGCATCGTATTAAATTTTCTAGCACCACACGTGAGTATGTTGATGGACTTTTGTTTTCTTCTCTTAATGTGAAGCTTGAGTTTTGGTGCCAAGTTATCTTTTCCACATGAGCTTCTGCTTCTGGCTTATGTGGTAGTCCTGGGTAGTTGCCATTTTCACACCTCAGAGTCAAATACACAGGCTCAAATCCCAGTTCTGTGAGCACACTAAATGTTTGTGTACCTTAAAGGACCTCAAGCTGTGTCTAAGCATGTTGGACTCTGTTGAACTTGTGACTCAGCCTCACATGATGTGGGAGGCAAGGCAGATGCCAGTCCCCTATAGAACATGGCTTCATTAGAAGGTGTGTATTTTATGGCAACCAGATCTAGTGGGGGCCTTTGAAATCGTTTCTGTGTTCACCCCAGAGCAGCCTCCCTGCCCAGGAGACGGCTGAAGAAGCAGCAGTGGGCTGAGATAAGAGCCTCTTCCCCATGTGTAGAGACGGCTCAGTTGGCTGAGACGGGAGGCCAGCCACGGTTGCGGCTATGCCCTGTGGATCTGCTAGGCTTTCGTGGTCACTGAAGCGAGTGCATGTGCCTCACCTGGAGCCTGCCTACAGGCAGGGTTATCACCAGGCCAAACACATGGACATACTTAGGTGTGTGAGTTCTCTTGTAACTTTTTATGGGCAAAGTGTCACCAAGTGTTAGCCATTCCCTTCTGAAGTGGATGGTTAATTCACCTCCACACATCTGTCCTTGAACATCAGTCCTGCTGGGAGATGTCTCAGACTCACTGGGGCAGTCGGTCTGATGCCTTAGTGCTTGGAGTCCTTCCCGTCCTCACAGGCTTGCCACTTGCCTGACTGAAGGGTCTCTGGTCTTGCTGCTGCTTTTTCCTCCACTAGGACGGCAGGATGGAGGCGGCTGTGCGGGTCTGCCCACAGGCAGGAGCAGTCAGTGATGACAGGCTCAGAATTATTTTATTAATATCTTAAATGACATAGATTTCCCTGTTTCTTTAACTGTTGCTTTTATATTAAATTGGTGTTTTAAAAACAAACCAACAATTTATAAATACTCATTTTTCTTTCTGCTAAATCATAGTGGAACATGCTAAGTATTTTAACGTATGCAAACAATAATTGTGGTTCACTTGCAATGCTAATCATCCTCAGTAATGTTGAACTTGAAATGAAAACTTGGCACCAAACTTATTCAGGTAGAAACTTTTTAAAAAATCGTTTCTTCCTATTGTTAAGTGAAGAGTGCATTTATGAAAGTCTTCATGATTATGTGTTTGAATACCAAAGGGTTAAAAATACACCTGTATTTCTTTGACTGCAATAACAGATGTTTGCTAATGTTTTGACTGTATAAATAGACATTTAGTAAATGTTTTTATTTTTTTATCTTTTTTTAATGATTCCATTTATTTGCTTATTTCCATCTAGGAATAGTTACTAATGTATTTGCGATACAGCATACCAAATTTTAAAGTAACCAGAATCGTGAGTTGATGGTTTTTAGTCCATACTATTAAACTTTTGTTGAAATATTGACATAAATTGGCTTCATGCTGAAGTCACTAGAGGTACCTCCTAAAGACAGCACTAAAGAAGGCAGTGGAGACACTCGGTCACACACCAGTGGCCTGGCTCTGACTGCCCTGCACCTCATGTGTGTATGTATTTTAATCCAGTGTTGCCTGCAAATGTGATCCCTTATGATTGACGTGTCCTGTGTATGAACCATGCCCGTTTTAAGTCACGCAGAAGATTCTGAATCTGTAAACACTACACATGTCAATGTCTTACAGCTACGTAATTCGAATTGACTTGGTTTTTTCAAGTCACCCTAGAGAGGGGAGCATTCACATAGAACTGCTGAAACTGCCACAGGTGCTCCTCCGAACCTTACGGTTGTGGCATTGAATGTTCAGCATGGCTTCCCTTCTGCACACAAGCAGACTGTTGAGGTATTTGTTGCGGTGATTGGTTTTAATGCTAATCTAGGAATTCAGATATAGATTCTTTAGATTTGCATGCTTTGCTTACCCTAATTTATGATATCTACCTTTTTATTTGTAAACTAACAATAGCTAAATTCAGATCAGAATTTTAACAGAAATATTATTTACATTAAAAATTGTGGGTTTTTTTATTGTCACATGGCATTAACATAAAGAAAGTATCACAAAGGTGACATGACACCTTGAGTTGTGAAAACGACGTCAGGTGTTTCCTGACCTGTCGTTATTACGTTGGTTAAAGGAAAACCACTCATTGGAACGGCTTCTCTACTCTGGTATTGTGACACTAAGTGGAAAATCAGAGGGTGGCGGCCTCTGTGACAGTCGGTCCTGAAGCTCCCTGGGAGGAAATCTTGAGCAAATTAAATTGAATGCTCCGTTCAAAACATTCTCACAGGAAATGGTGTTGGGTGACCGTTTGATTCATTCTTGACACTTTGGCAAACTGTTTGAATTTGTGGGTGAGATTACTTTCTTGTCATGTGCTAGTTTTCTGATTCTGAAAGATTAGCAAGAGGGCTGGGTGTGGCTCTGTGGTTGAGAGCTTGTCTGGCTGTGTAAGGCCTAGGTTTGATCCTCAGCACTGCTGAGAGTCACCTGCCTGGGGTGGAACCGTTTGCCTCCCTCTTGGAGGCGATTACAGAGCTGGGATTGACAGGCAGGAGCAGCATATGGAGCTCAGCCCCATGAAAGTCTGCTCCCACCAGCCTCCTTCTCAACTCCATGTCAGCCTCAGCAAGACTAGGCTTCTTAATAGACTCCCCATTTTAGTATTTTGTGTGTGGATGTTAGCATCAGAGAGAGTGGGTAAGGGCTGAGGCTCACTCTTACACAGTTGTGCCGTTTCTCCCGGGTGATTGATCTTCATTGGCACTTCATTAGCGTCTGTCTGCAGGACCCAGTTAGTTCTGTGTGGTGAATGTTGGTGAATCACAGGCTGAAAGGGTGGACTGTTAACAAGCACTTGACCCAAAGTAAAGTGGACATAGAAGTCGTGAATGAGTTGTGTCCTTAATTCATGTGCCCACCTCCTTTAGAAGACAAGGGCAGGGGAAGCTGAGGTGCCTCCTTAAACTGGGAGCACTGCATAGAGGTCAGAGGTGCAGTGAACCTGTAGAGTCTAACCAAGACCGCTGTGCAAGCCTCGAATGAATGAAAATTAGGAAAGGGAGTTGGAAGCCCTCGCAAGCAGTTCTCATTCTTCATGCTCCCGCCTACGGATCCCACTGGGAGGCTCTCCGATGGAGGCGCAGCAGGTGGTGAGATGGGAATGCTTGGTCTGATGGTTTCCTTGGTATCTAATACTTTGTGATAGAAAGTTATCTTTTTTGTTAGACTCTATCATGAATCCAGTAGTGATAAGACAGCAAGGAGGACCTTGAGGGCGCTGGTTGATGGGAGGTGAGCAGTCTCGTGTTTGTCAGCAGCTCTGACTCTGGCCTGCGGATGGAGGGCCCCTGAGCAAAGGATGGCCTTTCATGTCTAGATGCCAGTTTAACCGGAACCAAAATGAGAAATAATGGACATTGTATGTAAAGGTCCATGTGACTCAAATTTCACTGTCCATAAGGGATGATAGGACATGACACACTGACTGTGTGGAGCTGCTTTCAGGCTGCAGGAGCTGAGTGTTTGTGCGAGAGAGTGTGTTCTGTTCAAAGGGAAAGAGCACTGTATCCTGAGCTAGACGGTCCCTGCCAGTCAGTTCAGGCCAGCTGCCCTGTGGAGGTCTTTGATTTGATTGGACAAGACTGAGGGTCTGTCACTCAGGAGTAGAGACTACAAGTGGTGAGTGGAGGTGAGCAAGAGAGGAAGTGGTGGACACTGAAATAGACGGCAAATGGAGGGTGGTGGCTGGTGCTTGATGTACCAGCATCACCGAACAGATCTTCAGCTTGTGAAGGCAAATGTTCAACTACTGTGTGATCAGTCCTGAGCAACACAGGACACCATATTAGAGTCAGAAGGGTGCTTTATATTCTATTTTCTGATATGTAAAGATATACAATGCTACACAGTAGTGCCACTTAAAATGGAACAAAATTATTGTCTCTGCAAGCATTGTGTAGTACAGATTCTGATGTGTCCAGTTCGCCTTCTGGAATTTGTTGTTTCTGTTTGTGTTTACTTCTGGTCCTTCAGAATTACATGAGCTCAGCTTGACCTTTGGCTCCACCTGCTGCTGCACCGGTGGATGGGCTCTCATCTTTTTGAGCTTTTCTCTTAAGTTGGAAAGTTGGACCCTGTAAACATCTAGAAGTTGGTTGTCTCTGGTGTAAGCAGAGGAAAGTACCAGCGATGACGGCTCCCTGGGCGATCAGGGGGTCAGCTGTTAGCCAGCCCACTGCGGTTTATGTTGCAGATTTCCTAGTGCATTACTTACCCTACTGTTGAATGTTGGCTTCTCGTGTCTGTGTTCTTTCAGTTTGGTGAACAAGACCATACGTACCCATAGATAGAAATGATCATTTGGGGGCTAGTGAGACAGTGAGTTCAGTCCCCAGAACCCATATGGTAGAAGAAGACGGTCTAACAAGTTGTCTTCTGACCTCCACACATGGGCCATAGTACACGTGTGTACACACACACACACGCACACACACACACACGCACACACACACGTAACAATAAAGAGATCGTTACAGATTTTGTCTGTAGTGTTGCTTGTCTTCAAATTCTGAAGACATTTAAATTTTTCACATAATTGTTTTTTGACAAGTAGATGTGTCTAGACCATCTTCACTCTGCTGTCTGATAAGCTCCACACTTTTATAAGAATCGTAAGCCTTGTGGCTGTGTGGGGCAATTAAAATCTGTGTCGTGTTGTGATGACAGGTGGGCTTTGTTTAGGCCATGTATTAAATCATGTTTTCTTTTTATTTACGTGTCAGTAAAGATGCTGGAATGAATGTACATCACAGTTACTGTGCTGAAGTCTTAACCACGTCAACTTTAGTTTTTACTAGTCCTGTGAATAATTGCATTTTATTTTTAAGGAAGTGCTACTGATTTCTGGGATTCTCAAGTCTTGCCTCTTTGTATTTCATTAAACTGGACTTGAGGCCTGGTAAGATCACTCAGTAAAGTGTTTGTTATGCAGGCATCAGGACCTCTGGAGACAGGTAGCTCCCTTGAGCTCCTGGCCAGCCAGTCTAGCCACATCAGTCAACTCCTGGTTCTCCAAACACAAGATGGAGAATGGTTGAAAAAGTCAGTCAGCCTCTGCTCTCCACACACACACCAACACTACACCCATGTGCACCACACCTACCACAAACTGAGCTTGAGTCTGCCTTCCAGATAGGTATTACAATTAATGAGTGTCCAAAACACATTCTGCAGCTGGAGCCTTGTGCATGTGACCACTGGAAATAGAGTATAAGGCTGTGATTATCCTTGTAAACTAAGAACTGTTATTTGTCCCTGAGCCTTTAGATTTTGTGCTCCAATTTTAAGTTTGTTTGTTTGTTTGTTTGTTGCCTTAACAGTAACCCTAACAAGCACAAGCGTCAGGGTTTGGATTGGTCATCTCTGATACAAAGCGAGGCCTTCATTTCATCACGTCTTGGTTGGGCGTGAAGAATAGCTGACTGAATAGGTATGGAAGCTCTCCTCACCGTTGTTGTACCCGGTTGGCCGGTCGGTACCAGTTGAAGAGCCTGAGGGAAGGACCGCTGCCTCCCTGAGTTCTCTAGCGCAGCGCACACTCCTGCCTTCGGAGGGAGCTTGAACAGCATAGCTTTTGTTCCCTCGGCTCTCGCTGGTTTTTCACCTTGACAAATAAATGAAGCTGTTCCTTTCCTGTTCAGCTCTTGGACTTACATTCTGCCAGTGTTTCTTCCTCGGTCTGTGACATGTTTAGTGTTATCACCAGGTGACACAGTAGTTCCTTTGGAGAGTAGGACTGAGCCTGCGGCAGTACTGCAGGGTACTGGACATTTGCAACACGATTTGTTTCTGCAAATTTTCCTACGGAGGGCAAATCGGTCAAAACGTACTTCGCCTTGTCTCAGTGTAGGGGCCAATGGCAGGCTACTTTGTCAGGATACCTTCTGAACTTCCACTTCGAGTGTCACATATCAGCCAAAATCTGGCTTATTTCTGCACTGTGACTTTGCAGTCAGGGAGCCACTTGGTATGAATGCCATGGACAATGTCGTCAGTACATGCTTGTTATAATTGTACTCAAGCTAAAGGATGGGCTCATTTTAAAATGAGGTACAGCTAATACAGTCTGTTTCAGGTGAGGTCTGAAGTAGAGTAAGTTCAGATTCTTCAGACTAACAAAACACAGCTTTGAGAAGTCAAGTAGGAAGATACCTTTTAATTTAGTATATTGATTTTTGTTTTTGTTTTTACTGTCTCCCAAATCAAATATGTGTAGGAAAAGTTAGTTACAGACCAGGCTGATTAACTGCTCCCTTAATGAAGATTTGCTGTAGATCTGTTGTCAGCTTCAGATAGTTTAGTCAGTGTGGCAGGAGCAGACACCAGGGGCGATTCTGTGGGGTGTAATTCATTGTTTTTGTGTTGTGCAGCCTGAGAAATGCCAGTGGCCTGACTGCAGCAGACATTGCACAAACCCAGGGCTTCCAAGAGTGCACCCAGTTTCTCTTGAGCCTCCAGAGCCAACAGATGAGCCGTTTCTGTCAGAATGGCGCCTTGAGTGGAGGTCATGAGAACATGCTTCCCAATCACATTAGCCTGGGAACAAATCGAAAGAGATGCTTGGAAGACTCAGAATCTTTGGGAGTAAAGAAAGCTAGAACCGGAGGTGAGACCCTGTGGGCGTGGTTTACTTGTACAATGTTCCAGTTTACTTGTTAATGTATTTTTAAGACCTTTGCTTATTTCACATAGTGCCTGGTTGGTGTACTGAAATTGTAGTGTTCATCTGAAATAAATTGTACGTGTCTGTTACAATTGATAGGTCCAGTTGATACTCTAAAGACAGGTCCTTTGCTTTTCCTTGTTGCTATTAAATTTTAAATTCTGCTTCATTTTAAACAATTAGATTTAGCTGGAGAGGCTCAGAGGTTACGAGCACTGACTACTCTTCCAGTGGACTCAGATTCAGTTCCCAGCACCCACATGGCAGCTCATAGCTGTCTGTAACTCCAGTTCCAAGGGACGCAACACCCATGGCAAAGCACCAATGTACATAAAATTTGTTTTTAAAAATTAAATTAAAAAAAAAAAGGCTAGGTGGTGGTGGCATATGACTTTAATCTCAGCACTGAGAAAACAGAGGCAGGCAGATAGATCTCTGAGTTCCAGAACAGCCTGGACTACACAGTAAAACCCTGTCTTGAAAAACCAAAAAAAAAAAAAAAAAAAAAAAAAAATGATTTATTTTACACAGGAATGTTTTGCCTGCATGTATGTCTGTGTACCATATGCTTGCCTAGTGTCTGCAGATGTAAGAAGGCAGGCATTGGATCCCCTGGAACTGGGGTTAAAAACAGTTGTGAGCCGCAATATGGGTGTTGGAATCAAGCCCTGGCCTTCTGCAAGAAGTGTTCTTAACCAATGAGCCATCTTTAGCCCTGGTCTGCTTCCTGTTTTAGATGATCATTAATATTCTGAGCACATTTTGAAATGCCAGACCTAGAAGGTTTTAAAAACTAGTTTCAGTGTTGACTTTTGAGATAGGGTCAGGTTACATGGGCCAGATTGGCCCTCCACTTACAGTGACCCTCCTGCTTCAGGCTCCAGAGGGCTGGAATTATAGATCTGCACTGCCAACACCAGCTCACAAAGTTGTTTTGTAAACTTGGCCAGTGTCTCTTTCTTGAGCATTCTGGTCCTTTTGAAGGATTCCTTAGTTTCCCTTAAACCTTGTTCTGCAGACTCACCTAGTTATGCTGGTTTTCCTCTTGGTTGGCTGGTGACTAGAGGTTTAGTTTGTGCATTAGAACCTCTGTGTATCCTTCCCGGGCAGCTGCACATTCCTCACCCGCATCCTGCAACTGCTAATGCAGAGTAAAGGGAGGCAGGAACCTAGCGTGACCATCTGGGCTTTTGTGGGTGATGGTTCATTGTGGGAGGCCTGCTCCCACTTTTTTCCCAGGGTATTCTTGAAGAGAGAGGAGTGAGAAATATTTAGATAGAAAAATAGAAAGGAGTGAAACAAACACTGGATAGCCATAGGAGAGCCTGGATCAATACCCGTCGTCCCCTTCTGTCTCTTCTAAAGGGCTGTTTATAGGAATGCCAAGGGGTGGAACAAATGACCTCCCCCTAGCTCAGCCAAGTACAGCCCCTTCCAATCACCTGGTAACCGCACACGTGGTCCAGGCATCCCCTTATGCAGCCCTGCTGGGTAAAGCAAGCCCAGATCTCACTAGGGAACCTCTGGGCCTCCATGGTGCATGAAAGCCGAAGCCCTCTTCCAGACACTCAGAGTAGCGAGCCCTCCTATGGACGCCGTAGTTGGCTCTGGTAGGGCCGTGGTGCGTGTGGCCCAGAGCTGCTCTTTATTTGTGTGATCTCCATGACTTGAGCAACCCACAGTCTCTTCCGGGTTTAGATTATGTAGCTGGAAGCCTGGCGAGTCTGTGTGTGGACAGTTGGGCGCAGAGACGTGTTGCTTCCCTTCCCGGCCCTGCTGCTCAGCTGCTTCTCCTTCCGCTGTCGGGTCCTGGGAAACAGCATGGGCCACGGTGACGGCTTTCCCCCAGTCCAATACTGTCGGGTCCTGTGAAACAACATGGGCCACGGTGACGGCTTCCCCAGTCCGAGTGTGCTGAGTGTCCTAGGGAGCCCTTCCTCAGTCTCTGTGCCATGACCTGCATTCTTGCAGGCTTTGTTTCAGCTGGCAGTCCAGAATATTTTCACTGTCATTTCTGGCATGTTTTGATGGCTGTTTAAATATGTAGAAATTTGCTCAGTCTGAATTTCTTACTTTGTTAGAAGAAATAGAAGTCTTTCTAATGTAACACAGGCATGAGATTTTTCAACAGTAATTCTCCACTCTTAAGAGTGCATGCTGATTTTGCTGAGGAACTGAGTTTGATTGCCAACAGCATCCACTCTAGGGGAATCTGACACCTTCCGTGGCCTCTTGGAGTACATGTACATACTCACACAGAGACACAAACGCGCACAAAAACAGTGAAGTCCTTTAAAAACTTAGCTACAAAGGTAATTACTAAAGTTGAAGCCGCTGCCGCTCTTCCACTTGTGTGAAACTGTACACACGTAGGACATTTGGGTGTGTATAAATAAACAGACCACCCCCTGATGTGACACCTTTCCGCTCTGTCCTGGCATTCCAGAATTATATATCAGGACCTCACTGTGGAATTCTATCCGGAAACCAAAGCTCCAGCAGATTTTCTAAGCTCACTCCTCAAGAGTTTCTTATCATCTGGAACAGTGGTGAAAGTCACTGATTCCCAGGAAGTGTGGTCGGCTTCAGTGTCCCACTTTGAACAGTTGGTGGTGGGCACCGTGGTGATGAAAATGCCCAGATGTACACACTTGAAAGGATGTCTGTCTCAGCAGTGTTCTAGTCGGTCAGTCAGTCAGACAGAATATAGACGTGTGAGCTGGGGGCGGGACGTGAGAGCTGAAGTTCCTTGAGCAGTTGGTGTTGATGAAACATATGGGGGTGAAATTTCCTCCGGTGCCTGGTTTCCAGAAAGAATTGCTGTGTCTGTTTTCCATTAACCAGCCATTTGCTCAAGGCAGGATGATGACCAGTGAAGCTGGGGTGGCCCTGCACCGCCTGTGTCGTACGTAAGCCAGCTGAGGTTTGTTAGTGTTCTCAGTTCACCTGCAGAAGAACTCAGTGCTCTGTCTGTGGAAGTCCACACTGACTGGACAAGGATTGGGAAAGCAGCTGCCCCGAGAAACAGTCTGGTGTGACTCGGATGTTGCAGCCCTGAAACACTGCAGGCTTCCCTGACCGTAGTTGGCACTGAGGTTTCTGGGCACACCTGTGTCCTGGAGTGAATTTGGCATAGAGTTTCTTTTTCTTTTCTTTTTCTTTTTTCTTTTAATTTTTCTAGACAGGGTTTCTCTGTGTAGTTTTGGTGTCTGTCCTGGATCTCACTCTGTAGCCCAGGCTGGCCTGGAACTCACAGAGATCCACCTGGCTCTGCCTCCCCAGTGCTGGGATTAAAGGTGTGTGCCATTGCCACCCAGCTTAGGGTTTTATCTTTGTGTCAGTCATCCTTGACAGGGATCCTGAGGAAAACAACATGCCTAATAAGGTTGGGAAATAATAGATAATTTGCTAATAGCCTTAAATATGAAATTCACAAGAACGCCTCCCAAAAGTAAAATTTCCACTTAGTTCCTTTAATTTGTAATGTCCTCAGTATCCTCAGATGTGCAGCAGTTGTCTGTTTATATTTGTTTTTAAGTTTCTAGCGGGGGCAAAACTTCTCTCAACTTTTCCACACAGATGGTCGTCCTGATCCCTGGAGGCATCATTTCTGTGTGTGCACTTAGTGTTGTTCCAGGGGACCATGGTGCCCGTGGCTTTCCTGTCACTACCATGGTCCAATTTTTTCCACAGTTGTGAGCAGCCTGGTTCACACGCAGTCCTTTGCACTCTTGAAATCAGCCTCAGTCTTCCTGGGTCTCTGCAGGGCTCTGCCGAAGTCTGTGCCTTGCCACCTCTCTGTCTTGTGTCGTCCCCCAGGCAGGCTGCCTTAGAGAAGAGCCTTGGTGTAGACCTTGAACTGTGTTGCAAGAGATAGTTGACGGACAGATGAGGTAGGTAGGTGACAAAGATACTTGAACAAATAACTCTTGTACATCACAGTTGGCTGCTAGAAGCCAAGATGCAAGTATTTCTGCACCTGCTCCTTTTGTTGGAGTTGAGGCCTTTCTTCCTCTAGCTTAGCATTCCCTGATAATGGGTGTACTTGAAACTAGAAGTGCTGCAGGGCATGAAGGGGTGGGCAGCACAGCCTTGTGCCCACCTCTCAGGGTGAGTGGGCCCTTTTCTAGTGTGCTGGAAGTGTTCTGAACCTTGTGGGTTCATAGTCTGAGTCCTTGGCAGTTTAGGCCTGTGTGCTTAGCATCTGCTGCTTTGGTCATATGTAACTTAGCAGGGTGAGTCTTGGAAGCATTTCTCTTGGGTGACTAGAGCACAGGAAGCTTGGCTGTGTGGCTTTAAAAGTGGTTTGTTACTGGGTGGTGGTGCTGCACACTTTTAATCCCAGCACTCAGGAGGCAGAGGCAGCTGGATCTCTGAGTTGAGGCCAGCCTGGTCTACAGAGCTAGTTCCAGGGCTACACAGAAATCCTGTCTCAAAAAAAAGAGGACGTGCTTTCTGCTTCCTTTCCAAGCCCAAGCAGAATACTCATGGGTCACTCTGAGACATCCACACAAGCTGCCTTCTCAGATGTAGCTTCAATGGCTTCTTTAGTAGTAACTAATAGATTGGGGCTAGAAATGCCACCAGCATCAAGGTATGATAGGGAGCATATGGAATCCAAACAGTACTCTTAGGAATACTGTGGTATTTAATTCAACGGTTGGTGACATACATTTTAAAAAGTAGATAATGCTAGTTATGGTGCCTGCTTGCAGCCTGCTCTGCTTCTGTCACACGTCAACCATGATTCTGGGGCAGAGTATTGAGTGTCTTCCCAGAAACTCAAAATGAGATGCTAGGCTGTAGAAGAAAGAATGTCCCTTCCTCCTTACCCTGCTGGATCAGTGACAGACAAAGCCCTGTGTGAAAATCCACCTCATTGGGCTTCCCTGGGGCACCACACCTTCCTGTGGTGCTGGGCTCCTCTGCCCCTGCTGGTGTAACTGCAGCCAGGCCTGACTGAGGGCAACGTCTTGGATGGCTCTGCTACTTGGAAGGGAGTTATTTTCCTGTGGTTTTGTTTTTCCTTGCTGGTTTGTGGGTTTCATTCCCTGATAAGGGAAATGCCCTAGGGGTTGGGCATCAAAAGAAAAAGATCATCCTGACTGACTAGTGGTAGCACACACCCTTAATCCCAGCACTCAGGAGGCAGAGGCAGGTGGATCTCTGTGAGTTCCAGACTAGCCTGCCCTACAGAGTGAGTTGCAGGACAGTCAGAGCTACATAATGAGATGCTGTGTTGAAGAAACACACACACACACACACACACACACACACACACACACACACACACACACACACACACACACCCCTCTGTTTTCCTGAGGCTTTGTGGAGGAGGACAGAATGGCCTTCACATTTGTTGCATGTTCTTATTTTGGGGACAGTTTCACTGTGTGGTCTAGCTGGGCTCAAACTCATGATCCTCCTGTCTCAGTCTTCCAAATGCTGAGAGTATATAGGGCACCCCACATCTATGCTTCAGGCCATGGCTATGAAGGCGGTTAGTCCACTTTTCAGAGATACAGACTTGCACAAAAGCAAGCGCCGGTAGTTGACACTTTATATGAGGCCTGTCGAGACACTGAGCTTCTGGCACGGCTGCCTAAAGAGTGCTTGGGTTTGGTTGAGCAGACTCAGCAGAATGGGGACCAACACTGATGCCTGGCCTCGCTGTCCTCAGGGTCCCAGTGGAACGAAGCATTGTTACCTACTCAGCTGGATAATTGACCCCTCCAGATCCCAACTTCTGTGGTTGCTGCTGCTGGCACACTGACCTTGTAGAGTAGAGCCAGTTTGGTACTGAACTAACTTGAGACTTTAGGATTTTAAAAGAGCTTTGTGTGAGGACAGCTTAATGGCTTGTAGTTCCAGAAGTCCTGTTTAAGATGCTTTTGGTCTCTCCCGGGTGCAGACTTGCCTTCCCCCGACCATGCAGATCGCTGTTCAGGTCCATCCTGCACTGCTCATTCACTTGGGTTCTCAGTGTCCCTTAGCATTTAGCACATTAGCATCTTTAGGGAGGAATGGATGTTGGTACAAATAATTGAAGACCCTCATGCCTCTAAAATGAGGACTAGTTAAAGCTATAAAGTTCATATCTTCTATTTTGAAAACTACTTCGTACCCTGAGTTGTTTATTTGTATCCTTTGACCCAGAGATAATTGTAGGTATTTGCTGAAGAAATGTCAATGAAGGTGAGCTTATGAGGGTTAAGGGTGCAGTTTGGGCGAGCACAGAAGGGGAGCAGCCCAGGTGCTGTCTAAGGCCGGATAGTGAACAAAAGATTCCCCTGGAGTAGTGAGCATGCAAGATAATAACCACACTATGATATTCTCATACCTGTGTTGTCCTTGCTTGTGTTTGACACCCTACTCTTTCTTTTTCCCCTTCCTACTAGTCTCCTCCTCCCCCAAATAGTCCTTTCTCTGTGTGTGTGTGTGTGTGTGTGTGTGTGTGTGTGTGTGTGTGTGTGTGTAAATCTAGATTTTACATGTGAGAGAAAACAGTGTTTTTTGTATCTAGCTTGTTTTGTTTAGTATGATGTCCGGTTCACAAAATTCCCTGCAGATGACATTTGTGCCCCTGCCCCCACCCCTCACCGCCCACCCCAGGCTACTCTTTAGCTCGGGCTAGCCTGGAACTTGCTGTGGCTTACCTCAAACTCACAGAGATCCACTTGCTTCTGTTTCTCAAGTGCTCAGACCACACCTGGACTGTGATTTCACTCTTCATGCTTGAGTGACTGATGTATGTGTCAGTGAAGCAACATGTGTAGCTACTCTTGGCATTATTTTAAAAGAAAAAAGCAGCCCCTTCTTACTAAAATTAGAAGCCATTTTTCAAAGAGAGGAGAGGTTTGGGACACAGGTAGACACTCTGTAGACACCTGGAAGGCAGTGATGGCGTCTGCACTTCCACCCTCAGACACAGTGGCAGTTCACACTTGTAGTGTGCGCCTTTGGTGTGCTGTGTTGGGGACTCAGCGGACATGGCTGCAGTGGGTCCCTGTGGAAAGACTGAGCCTGAGTGTCGCCCTCTCCGTAACGTTTGCATAACATCAAGATTGTTTTGAACGCTTCATATTGAGAATTGTCTCCACTATTCAATAAACTCACTGGTGGTGGGGGCAGGGTAGGATGAAGCTTAGTATTATCTCAGGTTATACAACTCTATTACCAAGGAACAGCTTGGGAATTATAGCTTTTGCCATCAAGAAGATGAGCGAAAATCTGAAATTGACTTTGAGCTGAAATTGCATAAAGACTTTGTTATTGTAAAAAGTACTTTCACAATAGTATAAAAGTTCAATAGTGATCTTTGCTTCTTTAAATTGTTTGATAGTTGTTAAGCTTTTAGGGTAGATAAAGGGGTGGAAAGCATGGCTTGGATTTCTTTTTGGACACAGAAATCTAAAATCGCCTGTTTCCTGTGTAGTTCCCAGCCTGGATCACACCGTGCCTCTAGCAAATGGCGAGGCTGAAGAGGACGCCGACAGAATGCACGTTGACAGAGAGTTTGCTGCCGTATCAGGTGGGAGTGGACAGTTTCCTGTTAGCTGCAACAACACCCCAGTGCTCGAAGACACCAAACAGCAGGAGAGTGGTTCTGTTGGACCCAGAGAAATAGAAATATATACTGTTTCAGCAATGCAGACCCCTTGTCGTTGCAAGAATCAGTATGCTTACTATTTCTAAGTTCTCAGACTTCACACTTGCTTGTCCAGTGTCTTTAAAGATGTTCTATTATAATTTACATTTTTGGCACTTGTATGGATGCAAGAATTAAGCATTGCGTTGAATTCTCTTGCTGTGAGAACTAGTGCAATCTCCCAGTTTTGATTTGAAGCTTTTCCGTGATGTGCCTTGCTTCTTTCTCATGAGGTCTGCAGTTGGTTTCCTGACGTGGCCTTTGGGTGACTCTGCACATGCTGTTGCTTAGGCTTCGATGGCTGTGCAGCATGCGGACAGCTCACGGGGAACACTGGGAACGTGGAGGGTGGCGGCGGTGGCTGTGACCCACTGGTGACAAGTTTGGGATGTCTGCCCCGTGCCCGTGGTTGCGTTGGTGTCTAGCAATCCCTTGAAGATTGTTAAGATGCTGACTATTTTAAACAGTGCTTTACATGTTAAAATGTTCAGCATATGACAATAACTAGCTCTTATTTTACAGTTTTCAAGTCAAAGAAGCTCAGTGTGTCCAGAATTTAGGATCTCTGAAATGATGTATTTATTTGGCATGTGCCTTTTCTCCTGTTCTTTAGGGGATGACAGAAGGTCACAGCTGTTCTCCATGTGTCTGTCTATTTAGAAATACTGATTTTATATATATAGAGAGAGGGGATGAAAGGTCAGCTGTGTGTTTCCAAAGCCACAGGGAATGTTTCTGTGCCCATAACACAGTCCTGCACAGTCATGGGTGGTGTTACCTTCAACCAAATAATTAGAGAAAGTGGGTGCTCGCCTCTGTCCAGTTAGCTCAGAGAGTACGTTGAAATCAAGTTTTCTCTCAGCAGATGCTCTTTCCTAACAGAGAAGTGACAGGCGCCAGAGCCTGTCCTTTATGAGGACGACAGAGCTCTCTCCCTGGTCAGCAGCAGGAGGAACTCTTTGTGTTAACAGCCAGCCCCATGCTAAGCTTGTGGGCGGGCTTTTCCTTCAAGCCAGTTTGTCCTGGGGTCAGAAGGCCGTGTGGGCCTTCTGGTGCTTTCCAGTACTGTCTGGCTGAAGAAATGCGTTAGGAATCCCTGACATCCTTGCCAATTCCTTGTGTGAAGTAGCACCCGTCCGTGTGCACAGAAAGCCTGTGGAGACAGCTGCCACTGCCCTGGGATCTTAGAGAAGTAAGGCATTCCCCTTAAATGCATCTCCACTTTTTGAAAAGCTGTTTTAATGATCTCTTCACATTTTTAATGCCCCTCATTTGAGACTCGAGGGGCAGGGGGCTCTGCAGTGACTTCTTTGCCGGCTCAGTCTAGCTACCTGTACCCAGTGCTTTGGATTGAGTGGCTTCGTCCACAGCTGAGCAAGTAGGTGAGAAGGGGGTGGGACAGGCCGTGTCTGTCATAGTCTCAGGCTTCTGCCCTCCGGTTGTTGGTACACTGCCCCAGTGAGCTGGGCTGCCAGCTTCCTTTGATTTTGAGATGAAATAGTGAAACTGATCTACTTCAGCTGGGTACTAAAGGAGGAAAAATGCTGTCTATAGCACATTAATAACTTTGAAATTCACCATCCTATTCATGAGTTAACAAGAAAGGTGACTTTATTTAAAAAAAAAAAATACAATTTTCCCCTTGAGAAAAACTTGCTTCATTTTTTAAAAAGTTTTGTTCCTAGTATTTGAAATATTAGTTCTCAAATATTGAGTTGTTCACAGAGAAAAGCTATAATTTTAGGGGGAAAATTTATCCTCTGAATGTGTTCCAGTTACTAAGTTAGGATTACTACTAATCTGAAAAAAAAAATGTTGATGAGGGATCTTGATGATTTGTTTACTTAATAACCACAATCCTTGAGAGGACACATGCAAACTGTAGGGTACAGGGAAAAACCACTGTGTTCATCCACCAGCCACTAGACCTGAGCTTGTGTAGACTTAGTGTCTGTCTGTCATTACAGTCCAGAGCACTGAGATAAAATTCACTATTACCAAGCAAGAGCTCCTTCTTTTACTGTGTGAATTCCTGTGAACATCAATGTAATTCTCTGTACTCTAGCTCTGTGTGCCCACATGTCTTCTGTACAGCAGCAGCTTGTCTGTGGACTGAACTGTCCACACTTTCTCATCATAGATGGTTTCTCATCATAGATGGCTTCGGGCAGTAACCAGATCTGAGGCCTTGGCTCTCATGGTCGTCTTTGTTGCTGGACGCAGTAGAAACCCTCAGAACTGCCCTTGACCCAGGACTGCGAGCCACTGGTGTCCCAGCCTTTGCTCAGCTACCGGCCTGTGCTGCACCAGTGCTGCCTGAGCAGCAGCGGGGGTGGGGTTGGGTGTCGATGGCCCTGTCGCCGACACAAGCGCAGTTCCTGCTGGTGACCGAGTCCCTGTGGTGACCGCTTCAAGTTTCCTCAGCGCAGCCACGCGTTTGCCTCCCTGACTAGAAGAGTTCCCTGTCCCCAGTAGAGTGTTCTGCCGGGTTCTGATGACCCTGCGGGTGATTTACACTGGGCTTCGGGGGTTGCTGTAGTAGATCAGTATCTACTGTTCTGTGTTCACTTTTGGTGACAGCTTGCATTTCAGATCTCTCTCCAAGGCTACTGAAATATAAACACTTTTCCTGTCCTTACTAGACAAAATACTACAGTTGTGTTTTACCTCTAAATCTGTCTGTATAACCTTGAGAAGGGAACTGGTTTGTTTAGAAGAAAAAAAAAATAGCAACAGAACACAAACCAAAGTCTTTTTTAATTGTGGCAAGAGTTGAACATATGCTAGTTTCTCCTTCCCCATTGGTCTGCGTTTTGGTGACAGGTATATTTCTTAATGCAGATGTGAAAAACAGTAGCTCCGTGTTGAATACATTGACAAATGGAAGTGTCATCAATGGACATTTGGACTTCCCCTGCGTGACACAGCTCAATGGGATGGAGAGCAGGAGTAACCCGTGCTTAACAGGATCTAATGGAATTAGCAATGGACAGCCATTTCCCAGTGGCCAGGGTTCGGTCTGTGCTAATGGGACTGAAGAGCCAGAAAAGACCATGGGCATTAACCCTGAGATGTGTGGGTCTCTGCATCTGAACGGGAGCCCGAGTAGCTGTGTGGCCAGCAGGCCGTCCTGGGTTGGGGACGTGGGAGAGAACTTGCACTATGGACACTACCATGGGTTTGGGGACACTGCAGAGAGCATCCCTGAGCTGAGCAGCGTGCTCGAGCACTCGAGCTGCGTGCGGGTGGAGCAGCGTTACGACAGCGCCGTCCTGGGCACCATGCAGCTGCACCACGGCTCCTGAGCCCGGCCGGCGGCGGCCTGCCTCAGCTCCACCGCAGTTCCCGTGAGTGCTGCTGCAGCAGACGGCTTCCAGTGCAGGCGCTTCACACGGGCGGTGTGCTCCTGCAAGAGCACTGGGGGGCTCGCCTTTTTTTGACACCAGCCTCTTGTTTCTTTGTGAATTCTAGTGGATCAGGATGACTTGGGTTAGTAAATGAGGTGCCTGGTGACACAGCACCATATCCAGTCATTTACCAGACAACACAGCTCTTCTGTGCAGGCTGCAACCGTACAGTGGTGTGTGCAGCGACCCAGGAGGAGCAGCGTCAGTGGCCAGGGCCCAGTAGTCTCCCTGTTTCCTGTGTAGACCGACCACTGCCTGTGTTTCCTTAGGACAGGCTCTGCCTGGGGTGGATTAGGGTGGTTGTGTTTTTACTCCACATTTCTACTTGGTCTCTGGACTTTTTACCACAGATAATGGTTTCCTTTATATTTAGTGGAAGTCGCTGTTTGTAGGAACTGTCAGGTCAGATATTTTACTATGGTGACCTATTTTTTTGTTACTGTTTTTTGAGGTTTTCTGCTTAAATATATATATACTACTATATATCCAGTTAACTGAGAGAATTTTGGATTTCTCTTATTAAAACTGCATTAAATTTATGGTTTTATAGAAATTAGCTTTTGTTTAGGCACCTAGTGGTTACACTGCAAATACCGCAATGACTTCTGATTTTTGTAATAACAATTGGTGCAGATAAACTGTGAGATGAAGAAACCAATGCTTTAAGAATGTACTAGCATTTTGTTTTTAAACTGTTCTTTACAAATTGAATAAAAAAAAAACCACTGCTGATCTGTTTCTGAATGTACTTTGTAGGTGGGGTTGGGGTTGGGTCGGGAGGTGTGGGTGGGGAGGGGGTTTGGGGTTGGGTCGGGAGGTGTGGGGTGGGTGGGGGTTTGGGGTTGGGTCGGGTCTCCATGCCCCGTCTGTTGGGTTTGCCAACACTCGACTTGACAGCCGCTTCACTGCGCCTCGGGGACGGTCGGCAGCATGGTCGCCTCGGACACTTATAGGTTAGAGTGACCAGTGTTCTCAACCTTAGTCTCAGCAGCTGCTAAAGTCAACCTCGGCCTTTTAAGGGTGTAAATTATAGTTAGAAGATTACAGTAAAATAGCCACCCGGCATGCCTGCAGCAGTCTACTTCAAACAGCTGTGTGTATGTATTCCTGTACAGCTTAGACTCATGGGAAGAACACTAAGTTTTGAAATGTCCCTCATAGCGATCAAGGTCAGAACCCTTGACTGAGCCTCAAAAACCACTCCCAGGCTCTGAGAAGCTGCCTCCAACTTCCCGAGGAGGCTTGATACCAGCCCTGTGAGCTGAACCCTGAGGTGTCAGAGGCTTGAGACAGAAGCAGTTGATCAACACGTTCATGAGCAACTCTCAAAATAGTCTATAAAGGGGGCTGGAGAGAGAGCCCAGAGGTCCTGAGTTCAATTCCCAGCACCCACATGGTGGCTCACAACCATCTAAAATAGGATCTGATGCCCTCTTCTGGCCTGCATGCATACATGTGGACAGGGTACTCATATTAAAAAAAAATATTTTTTTATGAAGATAGAAATGTTTGACGCATCTTGAAAATTATTTGGCAGAATATGACTGTTAGGCTGGAAATGCTTTCTAGAATCTGCAGTGGGCAACATGGATGCTTCCCACAGTTGTCGGTGGCAGCCGCTGTGGTCTCAGCACAGGTGGTCAGTGGCAGCCGTGTGGTCGCCAGTGTGCCGGGGAGGAGTGAGGTCCCGGCACAAGTGGATGAGTGCACACTGCCACTGAGCGGGCACATGTGGGCTCGGCTGTGTTGGCTTGCCTGGTCGGGCCAGGGCTCGGAGGGAAAGAGTGCCTTCGGAGATTGTCCTTTCACCACTCTCCAAGAATGAGCCGAGGGGGCTGGGGAGATGGTTCAGTGGTTAAGAGCACCGGCTGTTCTTCCAGAGGACGCGGGTTCAGTTCCCAGCACCCACATGCTAGCTCACAACTGTCTGTAACTCCTGTTCCAGGGGGTCTGACATCCTCACACAGGCAAAACACCAATGCACATTAAAAAAAAAATTATAAAGAAAATAAAAGGCAACGTTTAAAAAAAAAAAATGAGGGGGCTGGAGAGATGGCTCAGAG